TGTCCGGACCATATTTTCGTTCGTCGCCCCACCAAAATCGAGATATTTGAGAAATATAAAAAAATATTCCAGGTGTACGTTAATTTTTTAAATATCTCAGTTTTGGAGTGCAGACAAACGAAAATTTTGGTTGGACAAACGTTCACAAATCGTGGACAATTGAATGCTACTTTGAAATTATCAGAAAGTTTTTATGGCGGTGCTGATGTGAAATTTCGCTCAAATTTTTTAATTTATTTATTTTTTTTTTTGAAGGGTGGACAAACGAAAATATTTGTTAGACAATCGTGGACAAATCGTGGACAAACGAATGCCAACTTATTTTTATAAAAATTCTCATTTGGTGATGCTAACTTCACGGACCCGTTATAGTCCTCTGGGTGGTGAGAAAACGAATATATCCCAAGTAACATTTTTAAGAGAATAAAGTTCTATTTATGTTTTATTAGGATTTTGTAAAAGCATAAAAATTAATAATTATTTTATTACAGTTATTTTTTTTGCTAATACGACTGCAGGATAAATTGATCTTATTACTTTATAGATTCCTTTACATCTATTTAAGAAAACTAGTTTATCCTAAAGTAAACTATGCTTTATCGCTGTCCTGTAAAGGTTAATTAATAAGTAATTTCAGAACTATTTAGTTTGAAGAGGTGTGTTGGTGTTAAAGAGGCATACTTTTTTAGCAGTTATCTTAAGTAGGTTTTAAAACTCAGTTTTAAAAAGTGTTTTAGGATTATACTTTAAATTAAATTGATCCCAGAACCTTTTAGGTACCTTTTCTACAATTTTACAACATAACTCTTATAATTTATTTAATCTAGTAAACGTTATGGCTCTTTTAAAACTACATAGTTTTCATAAGAACTAAAGTTTGTTTTAGAGCATAACCTAGCTTTTCAACTCAATCACATTATGTTGACGTTGAAAGATAAATTGTTTAATATAAAGAAAAGTTGTAATTTCCATAGAGAATGAAAAAAATGTATGTTTCTCCTTCTCTTCAGTGTTTAATAAATTCATTGTGTTCCATTGTTTAACAAATATCAAAACATTCCTAGGCTCCTAATATTCTGGAAATGATCAGTGAAAGAGATTAATATATTATTACTAATTTTTATATTTTGAATGACTTGTTCGTAGAGTAAATAAGAAGCTCAAGAGTGAGGTTAGGTTATGCCCGTCTGATTGAACTTATGAATGTTTTATTGAGGTTTTCGTTTTTACTATTGTTTTATGAAAGGCTTTAAAAAGTGTAGCAGGAGCTTTTTAAAAATGGAAAGTCCTAAAAAGTATTTTTTTGCTTTATTAGTTTTATAAGTTAAAGTCCGTTTTTAGGTACAGATAGAACACAATGAGGAAATCTTCCATTTTAAATATGGCAGTGGCTGTTTAATCACATATCATGTAAAATAGTACCTGTCTACCAGACCTGCACCTAAAGGATATTCAAATAAAGGTCAAAGTTCAAATAAGTAATTCTAAAATCTTTCGAATTTAGTAATGACGTATTTTGTGTACCAAAGACAGTAATAGTGTCAGTGTCTTAATGACAACAGTGTGCCAATGACAACATTGTGCCAATGACAGTAGATTTATTATTTATGATTGCGTTTACTGCGTTTAACCACATAATGTCAAATTTGTCAAATATATCTCCCTCTAATTCCTTTTAGGGTGTATATAAATATTTTATACTGGAATATACTATGATATAATGTTATACAACTCTTGCCTCGCCTAAAGTAATTTAGGATTAAACACAAAGTTTGTTTCTGATAGTCCAGTAGGTAGTATGTGAAATTGAAAATGGTTTTCTGACGATGACAAGTATCCATGCAAAGACAAATCTACAATAGGATTTATATTGGCGGTTAAATAGTCACTTCCATGAAATAATTTGAAAAATACAAAATGTGATATTTTATATTAAAAACATATCGAATACAAATGTAATCGTTTTATAGTGCTATATATACGATATTTACAATGTTATTTTCTATTAAATAACTTTCGGTAAATAGATTAGAATCCGTATAATAATCCTTTTTTTTACGTATATTTCATATATTCTAAGGCCCATAATTTGTTACGAGCCACCTTGCCCACTTTTAACAGTACTTTGGTGTGTGTTTGAAAATTGAAGAAATAACAAGTGTAACTAAACAAATTAGAAATACACTATACAGGGTGTTTCTTTGGTAAATGGGTATATGTTAACTACATATGGGGGTCATCTAGGTGGTTCCAAAAAACCCATACTTCATGGGTCTGTCGCCCTTTATAACCGATATACAGGGTGTTTTATCAATTTTGCCGATTTCTTTCTAGGCTCATAACTTTTGAAACACGCTGTATATTTTTTTGATATTTGGTATACAAGTACATCTTAATTTGTCAAATCCAGTGACGTAATAATAATAATAATAATAGGGAAAATCCAGGACCGGATTAACAAAAAATTTACAAATTCTTCGATACCTAAAACAACACCCTGTATATCATAATTTTGAATATCTGTTTACAGATTCAAAAAGAGCAGAAAAAATTGAGTTACACCAAGTGGTTTTGGTATTTCCGCATACAGTTTTCTTACTACTTATTAATTTTTGTCAAATCTAAGTGTTTCGATAAAAAGATGAAATAAAATTAAAAAAAAATATTTTTTTCCTAATTATTGACTTATCGAGATTTAACTAAGAAAATCGTGAACCTTATTGTATGCTCTTGATTATTTAATCCAATTTTATTAAAAAATTCATCGACAGGTCCGTATTGAAGAAAAAATTCAAAATTTAACGACTAAATTAAGAACGCCCCGTATGTGAAATTATGGTAATATTTGTTAAAAAAGTAATATTTGTTAAAACAATTAAAATTTTAAGTAAATAATGAAAAGACACTCACATTTCAAACAAAGTACACCTTTGCTTCAAAACACTAATCTGTGAAATAATTCTAAATTTTAATTGTTAAAAATAACGGAAAATTAATATGAATTATGTATAAATTCCTTTACCTATTTCTCATTAATATTTTATTTAAAACTCGTTCATTTCTTAATTTTTCGGATGCAATAATAAAAAAGTAATTAAATACTATATAACTCATCCTGTAATTAATGTTGTATTGAAAATATCTGTAATTAAAGTATTTTGTTATGAAGCAAGTCCTTTTTGAAAATGGCCAACTTGCAACAATATCAAAAATTAGTCATAGGGCCGAGTTGTGCCCACTGACATTATTGTTCAGGAAGTCGACAACTGCCAAATATGAAAAATTCAGGAAAATAATCCATACAAGTATTTTTAAGTAATTGATTTTGCTTTTAATTAAAATTTTTTCTTTATCTTTTGTTAATTTTCTAGGTTAATTATGTGTTTATCTGCTATGCTGTACCCTGTATCTACGCCCTTGATCGTACAGCAATACACACGTAATACCAACAATATTAATATTAAATTGTTCATATCAAAATGATAAATCAGCGGGCAATCATTTTATAACATATTCCTTTGTCTGATTACGACACATATTTGGCAAAGAAACTCACGACCTCCAAATGATAAAATAACCTAGTTTTGTACCAATTATTCAGGAAAGGCGCAGAAAGCGTATTCAAATCGACGAAAGTTTTCGACTAAAATTATGTAAACGATGGGAAAAATTCGCGGCTCAACAAATGTAATAAGATTATTTTCGATATATGTTTTCTCTATCTATCTGATCTAATTAATTTGGATAACCAAAAAATATATATTTTTTATTATCTCGGGTCAACGACATTTTGTAAGCTCGTGCGACTCATCTGAATATGTTTTAGCAGAATCTTGGTTTAAACAATTTCGCGTAAACACTTCAGTTTCTTAAGAGTTAATTATTTATATTATGAATTAGTCAGCGAGAACTGCTAAACGCCTATTCTATCAATTTTGTAGGATTTAAAATTATTTTATCGTTACAAGAAAATTTAAAAATTTTAAAAATCTGATAACATTACGAAATTTTGTTGAAAACAACCCCAAAAACTACGCAGCGAATATTATAGCGGTGACTTTAAAATTATTAGACAATAATAATAACAGCATAAAACAAGTTAAATATACATATTATAATGTATTTATTTATTAAATACGCATTTACTATTAATTACTTATTAATACATTTTAATGTGTTGCTGTATTGTGCTTTACCGTCTCATGATCATAATTTTTAGTTAATTATTTTAGATTTTATGTGATTTTAATCGATTGAATTTTAATTTATTTGATTGAAATAAGAACCAAAATATTTATTTTAAAGCGACAGGTGCCTGGCAGTTCCAAATTCATTAAGCTCTTGTCTAAAACTGAATGAACCAAAGGACTGATAGCTCAACTGGAAGGAGAATAAGTTGTCACTTCTTCTTGGTACGTTCTTTTAGCTAGGTTACTTGTATTATGTAATTTGGTTTTTTGCCAAATACTAATTCATGAATGCTATAAATCACCGTTTAGTGAAAAAGCTGATGTCTCGCATCAAACTAGTGTCAGGTACACTTACTTACCTTACCTCTTTCTATACATAGTTGTTGTAGTTCTGGAACAATTTTTTTTTAATAACTTCAATGCTTATAATCCCTTATATTCCCACCCACTTATGGGTTAGATTATTTTTTTTTTGAAGTGTTTGTGTGTGAGAAAAAAATAGGATCGGACATTGTCCATTAGCCACAGAATGATTAAGACAATAAAACGTATAAACGAGAAAACTATATCTCTATTTTGGTGTCTAGAATAAATTTAATTTTTTGGAAGTATTTATTTTGAATTGATTTTTTTCTCATTCTTAATGAAAGAATAATTTTAGCCTGATATTATGAATATTTTAATTTCCCGTGACAATTATCATTTTGGAACATTGATAAAATATGTTTAACGTTTTGAAGATGATATTTTAATTTCCTATATGTAATAGAATTTTTCAAAGGAATAAGAGAAAGAAAACTAGGATGATTTGAAAACGATGCAAATATTTATTTAATACATAATTAATAGGATACATCAAACGGTAATATGAAAATATGGATATTTTCTTTCTAATATGCGTAGTCGTAGTTATGTTTAATGCTGGACAATTGATGGGTTTCACATTTATTTATACATAATATATGAATGATTAATAACATGTTGCTACTACACATTTGAGGTACAGTCCAGCTAGTCTTATAATAGATATTTTTATAAATATACAATAATGAGATAACATAACGTAATATTAACCGCTAGAGAATGGTAAATAACAAAGTACATACATTTTTACATATATTGATAAATAGTTTACAAAAATCACACATATTTTCAGCTAATAGTAAAAAGGTACGTATATCCCTATGAGAAAATGACCAAGTGAAATCAGGTGTGATGATAGATGGGATGGAATAGAATACATAGTAGTTACATTTTAAGAGTAACAATATTATAAAGCGCCAATAATGAACAAATTCATAGGAATATATTGGCAAAAGAAAGCGGTACTTGTGCAACTTGAAATATCCTCAATTCAATCAAATCTTAACTAATAAATAAATAACTAAAAATAAAATAAATTATGCTCCTTTGGAGCATGATATGTCCAATCTCTTTTGAGAATCATCACAAAATCAGTGGTATTTTTGGTAACCACTTCATCACATCACTTCATAAACTAATAATGACACCTCCTACTTCTCCTTTCTGGTCATCATTGACTTAAGATGCTCAACCTCGCTTGAAAGTCTGACGATCTCTGAGTGCAGTCTGTGCTTTGCGCTGGTGTCCCCGTCTGGACAATCTTGCATATTTATTTGGGACTGTTTGAGGGTTTGTAAAGTAGCAGCGGCTGTGGCAGCAGCAGACCACTCAGCTCCAAGTGAAATGCCGGAATCTCGTTCGTCGCTTGATCCTTCTCCATCCCATGGAGGACTAGCACGGGGTCCAGGTTCTTGTTTGATATTTTGTAAGGATAACAAAGCACTAGCAGCATCTTTGTCGCCAAGATGTGACTTATGTCTGAGTTTCAGAGGTAAACTGTTGTTGGCTTCTGTGGTAGTCAAGGCAATTGGGGTACCCTCGTCGCCAGAGTTACTCGAAACTTCGAAAGGCGACTGTACTCTAGACCTGGATCTGGATCGGGAGAGATTCAAAGCATTGTTGGAATCGTAATGAATTCCTGTGTAAGAAAATTGGTAGTGGGGATGGTGGTAATCTGGTTCTCTGTAAGCTGGTTCCAGATGAGCAGAAGGTGGTGGGTGAAGGACGTTGAGAGAGTGTTGCATTTGTTGTGGTGGAGGAGATCCCATCACGGGTTGGTGAATGACAGGTGTTGGAATAGGACTTTGTGCACCGAATAACATTGGTGTGGTTGGATGGGCAATTTTTTGTCTTTTAGATATGCTCAGGACTTGTTCGCTAGATGGTAGATTCGCTAAAACTTTTTCAACGCAAACAACGTTTTCGCCACAGATCCCGTACTCTTCCTTGATTGCTTCTAACTGTGCTTTAAGAATGGCATTTTCCTTTGTGAGCTCTACAACACGCTGTTCTAAAACCATATCGTTAAATCTTCTCTTTTCTCTGGACCTTTTAGCTGCTTCGTTGTTGCGCCTTCTTCTATCCCAATAACTGTCATCTTTTTTATTATCAGGAGTGAATTCGCGTTGCTTCCTTTGGGAAAACAACTCTTTGTGTTTGACTGAGTTCATGTTGTAGTTTGGATTATACTCGTCACTGTTTGGCGAAGGGTTGGACAACATATCGCGTGAATGTGTGGCGGGTAAATTGGAGTTGAGATGTGGAATTTCACCATTTACAGGAGAACCACTCTGACCGCGGCCCACGAATTCGGCAACCATTATATGTTGTTTTAGAACATCTGAAACAAAAGAATACATAATTAGTTTTAGATTACCAACGGTACATACATAATATTTAGGGTGTAAATGCCCTATAATTTTTAAATTGATTTAATGGTGTAAACATTTAAATTAGATGTTTTTTTTTAGAGATATAAATCAGTATCGTGTTATGAATCAATATATGTGGTGTGAAGAATCCGTACCAACAAAAATGCACATGAACATTTAAATGATTATGATAAAAATGAAGACAGGTTTTTGCCACAAGTGCAGCCAAGGTCGTCCTGATTTACCTGCCCGTCGCCATCAGTGTCGGTGTGCTAATCCCACACTCTAAACTACAGACTTAGCAGCCAATTCCGAAGGGACTATCATACCGAGGAATTGATTAATAAATATTATGTAATCCATATACTAATGTAGTCTAATGAGATTATTTGAATTTTGATCTGTCTAAACACCCGTACAAGCAACGTGATCGACAACACGTGTGCACAAGCGCCGTAATAAATACCTCTAAGCACGTTTGATTTTGTCTCATTTACTGATTTAGGTCTTTTCTCTTTTCTCACAGACAACGTTCAAGAAAAGCACGTGAGGCACGGGAAAAATTGACACGAGATATAATTATCGTTTATTTTAGTAGTTATTTTTCCGATACTTATTTATAGACGTAAATGTTATGTAATGCAGAACTCAATCGATGAAAACCCGACAGTAATTCATTTCCCGGAATTATTCACGTAATTTTTCCTCAAATAAAAGGAAATATCTAATAATCGTTCATTATGATTACACAAATCGTAAGGACTCGCTCACTAGTTCTAGGAAATTTTACGAATCGTTCAGTAAGTTTTGCTGTAAACAATTTAAATTGCGCGTATCTGATATGATACGTAGCAAAATTACGTCCGAAAAAGAAATTACTTTTATTTAAAATAATAAATTAACCATATCCAGCGGCGTCGTCATTGGATGGAATCATACTAATTTTTTACTGTAAGAAGGGTCATTAGCTTTTCTTTTTCTCTCCGATTACTGATTAGTAAAATTTAGATTTTTCCCAGAATAATTTAAAAACCACAAGAGAAATTGTGAATATTTTTGGGGCCTTTCGTCGGCACTAAAATATGTAACAGACATTGCACATCTTACCATTTCTGTTATACCAATGTATAAACAAGTACCCGGTAGATATATGCTATGTTATGTATGGAATGTTAATACATTGTGACCTAAAAGATCCATTGTGCCCCTTTTGGCGTTAAGGTAACCAGGAAATAGTTTCGACCTGTATAACGACTCTCCTAACACTATAGGATTTGGAAGGGATCCAAGTTGGACATATGGCCCTCTTCTATTTGGTGTGCTCCCCTTGGGTTCTGTAGTGCTACTCATTCAGAGGTTTCATTATCTTCCTCACAGAATTTGCACTCACTATCTTCTACTATTCCAGGTTTGTGCTTCGTGTATTTTCATTATTCAATGTTAGTCAGTTTCTGTTGGACCTTTTCTACAATGTTTTTATCAACTACTTCTTCTATTATCTTCATCTCTTCTCTTTTTTGGTTTATGTTTTTTTTCTTCTTTCCTTCCGCCATTATTTATATGCGCCTCCACCAATTTAGATGGATTCGCGATCTTTTCGTTATTACTTATCATCATTCTTTGCAACGAAGTTCTCCTTTGAGAAAAAATAATACCGCGGCACACCCCTGACGATACAGCGATCTGCGATACCGTGAACTAGTTAGATACGATATTGAGAAAAACTAACAGGCCTCCTTTACTTAAAATCATGAAGAAACTAGGTCAAAGTCTCTGTTACATAATACGGTAGATCTATATTAAACCTCGCGCTCGAATATTTGTCAACAGTTTTAATTTATTTTCAAATAGAATATCATTATTCATTATGGTTCGCTAGTGGCGAATTAGCAACATGATACTTTACATTTCGATTTATTGTCAATGAGAATATTGTTTTGTTTACGCACTGCACAGACGTGTACTTCGTACTTGTTGCATTCATTACGTAATTTTGTAATCCTATTGCGGTTCCGGAACAACGATCATATTCGAGAAAAAGGTTGCAATCACTACATTAACTTCTATGTCAATTAGAGCAAGTTGAAATGCTACGTAATAACGTTTCTATCTGTAATATATTTGAACTACGACAATCACTGTCACATAATGCGAATCAAACTCAATGTCTCTATCATCTTAATTAGATTTCTACCGATCTACTGCAAGGTTGGATCTCGAAGGGAAGATGAAGGGGTTCGTTTCTCATTCCGCCTCCCCCAGTATTTATGCCTTTTTTTTTAGTAAGATATGTTTCTTTGTGTCTCATTAATCCATGTTTACCGTGCCCTGTTCAAAATGTATGCCTATTTTGTGTCCAAGTTTTCTGTTTGTTTATTTGCTTCGATAAAAAATTGTATAGCGTTGTAAAGTAAGAGGATGAGTTTAGTTCCATATATTTTATGTTACGATCTTTTTCATATCCCAAATTTCTCCAATTCTTTTGTCTATGTTGATAGCTTGCTTGACCGCGTGTTGAATTGACGTTTGAAGACTACATTTCTTAATTTGAAAAATGTTCAAAACAATATTCAGTAGAATTTTGTTTCTTGTTATTGTTATGCATTTTCAAGTTATGTATTTGCAATGCTGCTCAACGAATGTCCGAGGATCTATTTAATGACTCAAATGTTTTTAAATCTATGTTATGTGTGTATATGCGAACATTGTTTTCAAATTACTTGTATTTCTTTCTTTTTTATGTCTGTCCTGTCTGGCAATTAATGATTGTCGTTGATGTAGTTTAAACGTTATGAAGCATTTCGTTATATAAAAAATTTTGTTGTAAATATTAGTAACCTAAAATACTTTTAGATTAATTTGTAGATTTAAATCTATCGAGAAAAATAAAGGCAAAAGGGATTAAGCTGATGAAGAAAATATCCATAATACAATTTTTTTTGTAATATTTTTAACCATATTTGGAATCGTATAACAAAGGGCTTGTTAAGTACGTTCATATCACTTATCATTTGATTATGAGTAATCTTCTACTTTAGTATAAATAACAAAGGAAATTAATGATAGCGTTTTGTAAACAACACATTATAGCGCGACAACTAAAAACATCGCAAATATATTGTTTAAAAATAATTTAGACAAAAACAATAAAATCATCATTTAATATAGCTCATTATAGTATAGTTGAACTGTGTAATCTAGCAACAGCGGTTATTTACCTTTCAGAATTAAAAATGTATGACTATTATTATTTTAGGAAATGTTACGCAAGAAAAATTCGCGTTCAAAGTTTGGGAGTTAAAAATCGGAATTCACGTACTGACAGATTCGCGAAATGTTATTTATGTATAAAGTAAGAATGACTAGCCAGCCGAGAGCGGTTTACTTTGTTATCGGATTTTCCTGTTACAAGTTTACAAGCATGAATCACCGCCGTTACGAAGAAAACAATGAAAATAATTCGAGTAATGCCCGAGTGTAACAAACACAACGATTACAAACAGCGAGCGAAGAGTAGATGGAATGTAGCTAGCGGACAACAGGAGTCTAGCAATTAGAAACTAGGCTAGTGGAATATTAGTTCAAGACTGCAATATTGAGGTAGCTTAGATTAGACGCTCCTCATCACTATCAGATCTGTTGCCGCTTATTTATTATGTAGACACTTATTAAAAAAAATCTTTTGTTTTAGACGTAAAAGATGCGATGATTCAGGCTCGGTTCCAATCGAGGCTTAGGGAATATTATATCTCGATTAGAGGCACAAATTTCTACGAAAAACTTTTTGCGCGCCATAAGTATGATAAACAAGTTCATAATAGTGAGTTAATCTGTATTTGATATTTTCGGAAAACGCAATAACATAATAACGCACTAAATGAATTGCATCACTGAAACTCGCAAAAATATTTCACAGAAATTCGGAGCGGGTAACAGTTAGAGTGTCGCGATAATGATGTACAAAAAATCTTAGTAGAGCATAAATATCTGTCATGCATGGTAATAATAGCATCAGACATAAAACTAAGACTAATCAAATGATACTTAAAAAATAGGTAATAAATAAATATCCAATAACACAACTCACCAACTATATTCGCTGACGTAAATGAAGGAATTTTTCTTCAAAACCAATATTATGGATAATTAATATAAAAAATTAACACTTTTTCAAAAACAGATAAGGATGTCAACAATATGAAACACAACAAAAGTGTTTTGTTCACTGTTTATATTTCGCGTCTAAACTTATGCACTGTCGGAGAAAGACTGAGCGGTAACCGCGAGCGCTCGTAGTTAACTAGTAGGCTTTGGACTCGCGTAGTTGTCAAATATTACGATTACGCGACGGCGGCGGCTACGGTTGCCCGCGTGTTGATCAGTCGACTTGCGTCCGCCCGCCACCGGTCGGTGGGGAAAGACAGAGGACAACACCCTCAGTGAGTCACCAATCACAACTAGGGACAACTTAAATAATACCAGGGCTACGCCAAATATTTATCTTTTGACCGCGGATTAGCTCCTTCCTAATCAATTACCTCGTTAACAAATCAATTTAAAGTGTTCCAGCAAATTTGACAAAAAGGAACACTTATGGAAATCACCTCGGTGTCTGTTTTCTCGTCCGTCTGTGTCACTCAGACTATTTGACGTACACAATAAAATTAGAAGAGGCCGGCACTTTTTAAATTGATTTTGAGTACTGTTAGAATTTATTAAAATTTAAGTACGTAATCTTTCAGGTCATTAAAGACAACTTTCTCCTATGGACCCCAAGTTTGCAGTTCTACAGTGTGAGGTTATAGAAGAAGTCAAATGTAAGGAGTGCAGATTTAATATATTTCTACCACCATTAAGAGCAAACCTAACACCTTAAATATTTCTAATTTCTTCTAAGCTTTTATTTATAGTCCAATTTTTGTGAAATTTTCTTGAAATACCAATAATAACTAAACTTAAGGTGGAAAAATCTTGAATTTTTTGTATACCTTCGAAAAGTATTTATTTTGAAAAAAATTTAAAGGAATTTAAAAAACATTATTAAATCTATGAAAATTTACTGCTTTTTGTTTTAATAAATATCTAGTAGTTTTTAAATAGAGGGTTTTCCCACCTATTTTCTTAAACGTCTCTGTAGAGTGCTGCCTTATCGTTGCACAAATTTAAAGCTCCCAATATTTTCGAGGCACATAATATCGCGAAATATTACTAGTGTCACGCATATAAATATAATTTTTTTAAGACCGACCATACACTTTCTGAACAATTTTTCGTCCAGAAAATAACGTTTTGCCGATCAAGGGGTCTATTCTGTAACAATTCCTTTATATTTAACGGCCTTTAAAAATATTTTCTTCTTTACTTCTGTCATTATTTAAACGGATCTTTAAAATACATTAAAGAACTATCTTAAAGAAATGTGTTTAAGTAATGACAGAAGTAAATTAACGAATACGAAAATATTTTAAAGGCCGCCAATATTTTTAAAGGCCGTTAAATATAAAGGAATTATTACAAAATAGACCCCCAAGACCGGAAAGTAGACGTTAGGGACCGGTAAAACCTTTACCAGTCCCTGTTTTTCATTTTCCCGATCGCTGTTTGATAATACAGTCTGCCTTGATTTAAAAATGAAAATTTGGTTAGTTTATGCAGTTGTATCAGTGGCGTAGCCAGCCTTGCGGGGCGTGGGGGGCAAACATTGAAAGGGGCGCTTTATGATTTTTTAGAACCACTATTATTATTATAATTATTATTAAAAATGCGGTATTTTGTATTATCAAATGTATTAACAGATATGTAAACAAAAATTACTTTTTGGCATCGGTAATTGGTAACACAATAAACACTTGCCGACCCGACTCAAACGTCGCCACCGCCGCGTCGTGCATTGTTTTTGAAGATATCATTCGTTATGTTTTTGGACTTCATAAAATAAAAATAGTTATTTTACTTTAACTTTGGACTAAATAAATAACATTTTCTTTTAAAATACAATTTGAGGCATTTCAAACAAATGCAGTGTTTGTTTTTTAAAAATATCTTTCGAAATATTTTACAATTTCAATAAATGTTACAGGGTGTAGTAAAAGTAACTGTTTATTGTGTATACAGGCACCAAGCGCCAATCGGCAAGAGGCACCAAGCGCCAATCGGCAAGAGGCGAGCAAGGGGGCGGCGGGTGACGGGGGGGACAGGGCTGGCAAACTCCCCCCCCCCTCCTGGCCCCTACCTGGCTACGCCACTGAGTTGTATCCATTATCTAGTTTTAGTATTTGTTAATCACTATATTAAATTAAATAAATAATTTAGTTTACATCGAAGTGTCGGTCTTAAAAAAAATATTTTACGTCACGCGACCGAAAAATTGTGTTAAGCAGGTCTCGCCTACGGATCGCCCTGGAATCTGCTTGTCTCGACCTGCAAAACACTACTTTGCGGTCTTGTAACGTAAATTACTATTTGTATTAGAACATCCTTAAAACAGTTTTGTTTTCGCGAGAGGTCCGGTTTGCTCTTAAGTAATTTATGTTTTTTTCATTAAACTTATGTGTTATACAGGGTGGAAACCACTTATGGAATGAAATATTTTTAGCGTTATTTTAGAAAATCGTAAAACATGCTGGGATATATTTAGATTAATGCTATGTGGCGCATTGAATTACTAATAAAATTAGCTTTCAAATGAAGTGTCGTACTTTAAAATACATAACAATTTTATATCCCGCTAGAGGGCGCTTGAATCAAAAGTAACGCAATGAGCAGTAATATTGCTGAATTCCCCTTAACATTATTTTTACAATGAAGAGCCATACGACACATCTTGCTATTTAAAAAAAAATATGAGGTGGCCGTCACGTGGAAGGGTCATAAAGGGTCATAAAATATTTTGATTTTCACGATTTTCTAAACGCCAAAAATAATTGTATTCCACAACTTGGTTTCCACAGTTAGTTCATGGTCACTTGCACTAGCAAATTAAATCATACAGAATGTTCAAAAAATTAAGAATATGAGTTACTAAAATAATGTTTATTTTCATTTATTACTATAGTTAGAACATGATTTCTGATCACTATTTGTTGTATTAAATAGTAGATTATTTTTATAAGTAACACAGGGTGTAAATAATATTTAATACAAAAATATAACAGTTTCTTTTAGGGTTGCCACCTTTTCATTTCCCAAAACACTGACATGATTTATTTTGAAAAACAAATCACTGCTCTTAGTTATAGTTATAATAAAAAACAAAAACTTATAATAAAAATAAAAACAGAATGAAAAACAAAACATAATGATACTAAGGTGTGTTTTGCAAGTTATCCAGATATTCCCGGATATTTTCATCATATACCGGACAAACCTTTAAAAAAACGGACATTCCGGGTAAAAATCATACAGGTGGCATCCCTAGTTTCTTTACATAGATAAAAGAAACTGAATTTTTAAAACTGTTTTATAACATACACTATTATAATAAAAAATAATAAACAAGGAGCTGTGTTACAAATAAAACACAGTATCCTTTTTTGCTAATTACGAACTATTGTCACTAATACCTACTTGAAAAATGTCAGTCAATGCAATTCTTTCATAGCATTTCTGTTTGCTTACAAAAAAAGAAGGCACTCTATCCACATAGACAGTTTTCTTACAAAAATAAAATACCTACTATCAAAAAAGTCATAATAACAAACTTTAAATTATTGTTGTTTCTAGTCCAAAAACTGTAAAAGGATTTTTAAAAGCTTTTCATTTACAATCTAAAATAGGATTATTGAGGAAGTAAAAGTAGTAGGTATATTAATATTTTGACTGAGATCAGATTTTTATATAAAAATTAGAACATTCCTTCTGAATAATTCATTTAAAAGTCAGAGTTAGTAGAATTATTTTAAAGATCAAAATCAACAGAAATACACATTCTGTGAAAATTTCAACTGTCTACCTATTACGGATCATGAGATCAGCACGCTGAGAGACAGACAGACAGCAAAAGCTTAGTAATAGGATCCCGTTGGTTACCCTTCGAGTACGGAACCCTAAACATTATCTAGTATTTAATACAACAAAAAAGACATCAGAAGTTAGAACATCTATGGTAATAAATAAACCAATATTTCTAATTTTTTTAACACTCTGTATGATTTATTTTGGAAAGTTCGAGTAATGTTGATTTAATTATATATCGATGGCACAATCAAATACTGCCACAACTAAAATACTATTGTTTCGAGAAATTTCATTTTGAAATTTTGTAAGTCTCTATTATCATTATTTTGTTTTTGACATAAAATCTTTATATTTTATTTAAAAGCTTCGATATTTTGCTGTTAAAATTAACGATTACGAATATAAAAGCGAGTTATTGCATAGTTTGTAAAAAAATTTGGTGTTTTTGCAGAAAATAACTCGAATTTAGGCAGTTTTAGACACAGTTTGTGACTAGATTTTAAAAGATTTTCGGGCATCTTTAAGGATATTTTTGTTTGTGGCGGTATTTAAAGTAAAACCTTTTGTTTTTTTTATAAAAAAAACATGAATTACTTACGAATGGTAGACCGGTAGAAAAAATATTAATTGTGTGTCCCTTAGTTTTGACTCCTTCTAACAACTCAGCTATTAGAGTTACTTTTAATGATCTAAAAAATAAGGTCATTAAATTTGAACAAATTATGATATTACCAAAATCAATATAAAAGTGTGGGGTCATTTGAAACAGTTGTAATAAGTACTTTAAAACAGTTGTAGTAAGTAGTGGCCTAAATACTATATAATCGTTAAACTAGTAGATTTTTTATCTTAGAGGTTAGTTTAGGGAGCTTAATTTTTCTTTAGAAAAATATGGGATGCAGTCAGTAGCGTTAGATTTAATTAAAGTTTATTAAATTTGAGAAACAGGTATCACATGACAAGAATGGAAAATTCAATTTCAAGTAACATATTAAGTGCTTCTGGAGCGTCACAAGGGAATGTTATGGGACCACTTTTGTTCATAATTTTTTTTAATGATCTGCAAAAAATATTATAAACATTATTTGTAAATTTATTTGCAGATGAGGTTCTCCTCAAATCTGTATCTGGACAAAATTATGGAGAGTTGGTGGAATGACTAGATATGAAATTAAACCTCCTTTAGTCAAGAAGGCAGCCAACCTAGTGATAATAGATTTTAAAAATATTTTTCGGTTTTAAAGATATAGCCAGAACTATATATGTTAATATTATAGAGCCAATTTCGTTGTTTATATTGGGTTTATTTTTCCACCGTGAAGCAAATTTTGCTGTTCTAAAAAAGTTTAGCATCAACTCTTCTTGGTGCGACATTTTTTATTTTAAATGTATGTAGGTATGTTTTGGTTTTGAATTAATTGAGGGTTTGTATGGTTATGTTTTCAAATTTATTCTTCTAATCCTTCTAAATTAGTTCAAATGACTCTT